GGGGAGGGGGTGGTTCTTTTAGGAAATTGAGTTTTGGGGAGAATTTCTATTTTTTTAAGAAGTTGAGGGATTTGGGATTTTTTTAGGATGTTCAGAGGATTTGGGGCAGGTGGGATTTTTTTGAATTGAGAGGATTTGGGAGGGTTTAGGGATTTTTTTAGGAAATTGAGGGATTTTGGGGTATTTTTTGTGGAGTTAAGATTTTTGTTTGGGTATCAAATTTTTGGCTTGAGGGGGTTTTTTTGTTTGGTTTTATTTTGGGGTGTTTCTGGGTTTTGTGGGGTTTTTTTATTTGGTTTTTTGGGTGTTTGGGGTTTTTTTTGTTGTGGGGTTTTTGGGGGGCGTTTTTTTGGTTTGTGGGTTGTTTTGTTTTTTTGTTTTTTGTTTGGTTTGTTTGGATTTTTTTTGTGGGTTTATTTTTGATGTTTCAATTTTTGAACTGGACCAGTCTGAATCTCCTCCAGAACCCCAAAAAGGGACTGGAAACAGATTTAGGGGCTTTGTCACCCATTCCAGCTTGGATTTCTTCCCCTTGGCACAGAAAATCTGGGAATTGCCTCATTCCTGTAAATAAACATTTCTCCATTCTTAATCCCCTGCTGAATTTTAATGCCTTGGAGCAGCCCTATGGATCCTGTAGGTAATAATTTAATCTTTTATGGATAAAAAAAACTTTTTTTTTTTTTTTTTTGGTGGAGCTCTGCACTTCCCTTTTGGGTCTGGAGTGTTCCTGAGCTCTGCTCCGGGTAAATTGGGAGAGGAACAAAAAGATCATAAAAAATGGAAAATGTGACAAGAGAGACGTGGAGGGGCTGGAGAATTCCTGAGGGAAATGGAAATGGGATGGAGAATTCCTGAGGGATTTTGGAAATGGGATGGAGAATTCCTGAGGGATTTGGGAAGGGACTGAGCCTGGAGAAAATTTGGGATCAGGGAGAATTTGTGGCTCTGCACAACTCCCTGCCAGGAGGGGCTGGACCAGGGCTGGGATATCAGGTTGGATATTTGGGAAAATTCCTTCTCAGAAGAGCTGGAAGGGGCTGCCCAAACCAGAAACATCCCTGGAAGTGTTTGGGGACAGGAGTGAGCGTGGGCTCGGGGACAGTGACCGCCTCAGGAACAATTAAAATTTGGATTTGGGTGTCTTGGGAGGAATTTTCCAACCTGTCCCTGTCCCCTCCTGTCAGGGAGTTGTGCAGAGCCAGGAATTTCCCTAAATCCCAAATTTTCTCCAGGTTCAGCCTCTCCCAGCCCTCCTCTTTTCCCTGTCCTTGTCCCTATAAAAGGTGGGGACAGCTCTGAGAGCGGGGTCGGGTCCCTGAGCGCTGTCCTGGCTGCTCTCCCTGCCCGGATTTAATCCCAGGGCTGCGGGAAATGAGGGAACAGATGGTGCCGGGGACAGCGGCGTCCCTAATCGGCACAGCCCGGGGGGTGTGACCCCAAATCCCCTGGG